AACGCGCCCTGAGATGGTCAGATAGTCCCCCTGAGCTCCATTGGGGTTCTCCTGGGCCGTCTCTGGGACCAGTCTGAAACGCTGAAATAAATTCGCCGACCCCTTGTGGGTCTCCAAGCATGTGCGATTGCCCCCCCTATAACCCCGTTCAAAGCCCCGCAAACTGGAAATACACCCCCGCCCCCAAGCCGGGACGACCTCGACACAAACGCGCCGTGGGGCGATTCAGGCTCTCCTGGTGGCCCCGAGACGGCTCCAGAGACACCCCAGACGGTCCAAGAGAGCTCCGACTCGCCGACATATCGTTCCATAACGCCCAACATGGCCTCCAGACGGCCCAAGAGGCGCCAAAGACACCTCAAGAAGCCTCCAAAAGCACTTTGACAAAAAAGGCCCAAGATGCAAACATCGTCTATTTCGATGAGAAAAGATGTGTTTAGCACATTCGCCTCTCTTAGGTTTTGACAGCGGTCAAGACGGCACAGGAAGCCCTTACGATCGGCCCGAGATGGCCCAGGCCCACAGAGAGTTCCCACAACGGCCCAATACAACCCCAATGCGGCCCAAGAAACCCCCCAAAAGGCCGAAGAGCCTCAGACTCTAAATGGGGAAACGCCTCCTGACGTTACAAGCTTTCCGCCTCGAAATGGTCCCTGAGACCAACACCCAGCGCCTGATGAAAGGCCCCCAGGGAGCCCCCAAAAAACGCCGAGAGAAAAACCCTAGCGCCTAGACACCGCCTAGAGCCTAGAGGCCCACATGAAGCATCCAGACACCTCTGAACGGCGCCCACCGGGCCCAAGAACTGTGCTCAAGAAGCCCAGCGGAGCCTTCACAATATCCCCCAACAAGAACTGCTCGCGCCACTTGTATCATTACTTCTGTTCCACACGTCTTTGGTTCACTACCCGAGTCCGGTGGCACCTCGTTCACGGCCCAAAAAACGGTTACGGGTTGCGATCCCATATTGCGTCCCCGCCCCACCTTTGTCACTTAACTCCACCGTGTTCAGTGGGCTCGTGTAGCACTGGTGCAGGCTCGATCTCCCTGATGGTCAGTATGAGTCTTAATATTTGCACTTCCAGGTGCATTATTCGTCGGCGCGCGCGACGTGGTCCCCCCGCACGGACAACGCCGACTTTGGGAGTTCTGTTCCTGCAAATGCCGCTGCATTGATACGTTTGCCAGCTGCGCTCCGTGAAACGCGCATACAACGCGCGTTGATTCGTCCTTCGATCGTGTCCCGCTTGTTCCTTTTCAGATGCGTCGCGTCCGAGAAAGCTGCCCCGCACGCCGCGCACATCAACATTCTACGCTCCACCTGCTCCGCGTCAACGCCTTTGGCGCAGCCCCCCCCACTTGCGATAATCCTCACAAGCCACTCTGGCGCGTTTCCCCTCTGGCGGTCTTACACTTGGAACCTGCCCCAATGTCCAATCTCCCAAACAGTCGTCCCGCATCCTGGCGCGCAGCATTTCGCCGGCGCCGCTTCCGCCACTGCTTTTTGCTCTTGCAATTGTTTGACGCCTGCGTCAACTTACAACTATCCTCCACGGAATTCGAACACAACGTATCATCGGCTGCAGTGTGTTCTGTCCGTGTTTCCAACATAATCCAAGTCGGTCTTTAGGACCCCACACACCTGAAACGAATTATCAGTTCAACGCCCTTATGGACGTCCCACCAATCGCAAGAACGAATTATTTATCACCGGGGCCCGTCGCACAACAACGACGACTACGAAGAAAACTACGATTGAGATTGCCATTCGGACGACAACTACGATTGCGACTACAACCGCGACTACGATTACGACTACAATCGTGACTACAATCACGACTGCAACCACAGCCGTTGTTTAGTATTGCAATCCTTCGCAAGAGGTGTTCCCCCATCCTTTGGCGTGCAAGGTAACCCACAATGTATTACTCCCTGGGGAGAAACGCTCAAACATGATCCAACACGCCCAACACAACAGGGACCATGATCACCGCCGCGTCGACGAGGACGGCTACGACTACGATTGCAACTGCGACTACGATGACGACTACAATCGCGACTACACTCACGATTACAAGCGCGATTCCAACACCGACTACAAGCACGACTACAACAACATTGTTTTCTACTGCAACCCTCGTGGAAAGATGTTCACAACCCCTCTGACGTGCGGGGTGGCCCACAATAGATGACCCCCTTGGGGACAAGAACCCCCAACCATTACCCAACCCGCTCAACAGGGACAGGGAAATCATTTCATCCGCGTCGACGACGACAACGACGACGACAACGACGACAACGACGACGACGACAATTACGAGTACGCCCGACGGGGAGGAGGATGAGGAACAGGATGAGGAGACGGGGGACGAGGATGAGGAGAAGGAGGAGGAAGAGCAACAGCAACAGCAGCAGCAGCAGGAAGAGGAGGGGGGGAGTTTTGTTTCCCGACGAGAGAAACAGGGGAGGAGCCATACCTACAAACTTAATTATCGGGGTGTTCCGCCTTCTTTCTCGAACAGCGCGAATCGGATGAATCGCTAGTCGTTCGAACATTGTGCGCTCCTCGCACAAAACATGGTGTACATTCTTTTTGGCTACTCCGTGTCGCCAACTTCTGCGCGACCCCAGTCCCCTCCGTGCGGCGTTCGCCGGTCGCCCTCCGCATTCGTCGCCCACGCCCTGCAAGTTTTACATCATTTCCCGCGAACGCCTTTCACTTCCGCCGCGCATTCTTTACACAACAGCGGCCTCTCCTTCCTCTGGACACGAACGCCTCTACCGAGCCGCCGGTTCAAAAAGCCCCCAAAACGGCCTAAGCGGACCCCAACAGAGCCACAAAGCAGCCCCGAGAGGCCCGCAAGACGCCTCCGAAGGGGCCAGGCGGCGCAAGAGCGCCCCAAGACGGCCCAAGATGCCCCCCGAAGGCCCCACCGAGAGCCCCAAAGATGCTCCCAACAACAGGCCCCCAGGGCCCCCCCGAGAAACCTCCAAGAGGCTCCAAACAACGCTCCAAAACAGCCATGTTGCTATGCTCATGGGGACGACGCGGCAGAACAGCGCGGCAGACGAGCAGGCAAACCACCAAGCGTCCAGTCCCAATGTGATCTGGGCGTGCATCCCGCGACGGGAGGAATCACCCGAAACCCCGCGCTTCTTGCTGTTCTTGGAACGCGCACTAGCTCCTTTTCAATCTCGGCGGCGTTCAGGATGGTCCGAGGGGTCCCTCATACCGCCCCCGCTCCCCGTCGCTCGGACGTCCCTTCCCTGTTTTTTGTTCGGTTTCGTGTGTGTGTGTGTGTTTTTCGCAGGATGGTCCAGGATGCTCCTTGATAATCCCCGCCGAGAGAAAGTGCACACGTCCGAGCGATACCAAGCCCGAGAAGGCGGCTAATCCCACTAGAGATGCCCACTGGGCCCCCAGGCGGGGCGCCCGAAAGACGCCGACGAGTTTGGCGGCTCTGCGTTGGTGCTTTTATCAACTTTCCCGAGCTCGGCGCCCTGGCGCGAACGGGCCAACGACCCATCTCACAAGACACCTTGCTCGCACGATTAGCGGCCTCAAATCTCAGCGCCTTAACACAGGTGCCCAATCACACCAGATGACAAATCCAGCTGGACAACACTCCAAGTACATGCCCCCCAGAAGGGGACCTCGCAGGGGCCCCAGGAGCCTTCCTTACAAGATGGCTCCCGAGACCGCCGGCAAGCCCCCAAGATGCTCCCAAGATGCCTTGCAACAGGCCGCCAAGACGCCCCTGCAGCAATCGTGCTACCAAACCGATGCACAAGGAAGTATGCTGCGAGGCGGGGATCAATCCATCAACACGGCCCGAAGCGTACAAGGAGGGCCCCACGACACTGCATTGAGGCCCCCAAGACGGCCTCCGACTGCCAAGAGGTTCCCGAGAGCACCTCAGAGGCCTCCAAGAGGCCACAGGAGGCTCCCCAGAGACACCACCGCCCGGGGGGAGCGATCTGCTGGGACCTCGGCAAGGATATGGATGTGGTCAACCCCCCCCCCCTTCCGGAGCCCGAATCTATCCATGTCCACCGCCTGCCAAGGTCCCCGACGACCGATCCCCACAGGCGGTGGCGATGGAAAAAAATGTCCCCACCTCAGAGAGGGGGCTGTCCTGGTCACGGCGAGCCTGGCTCACAGAAAAGATCGCCGACCTCGATCCAAGGAACGACCCGACTGCCACAGCCCCTCTTGGGACTACCTGGCCGCTCTCGTTTCTGCAGCCCGTGCGGAACAGTGGGAATTTTGGGAATCCAGGAACTCTTGACTATCGTTATCATGACCTCTGGTCATTCTGGATTGCCCGTTCAGGCGGAGCCTCACAACGAGCCATCAAGGCCTCCTCACAAATCCAGGGTTAGCAAGGACTGCAGGAGCCTGAACAGCGGAACCCCAAGCGCATGGCATCCATGCAGGAAAAGGACCAGGGGACCAACGGAGGAGCTGCCCTTCGAATCGGTGGGGATTCCTGATCAGATGCCAGGGCATGTACACTCTCTGGCTGCTACACCAATCGCTCGCAAAAGTAAGACGGCGCAGTTTGATGCGTCCCCACAGAGGCGCAGGCACAAAGCACCAGAGCCCGAACGATAGAGAATCTGCGGTGCGGACGGAGTGGCCTGCAAAGCGGACATACACCCGACCAGAGGAGAAGCCTGAACGACGGAGCACGCAGCTGTGCGTCCCTCGTCGTGGACTTGACTAACATCCCACATGATGAACACCGAACACCTAGCACCCCTGCAGGGCCTAACAGCTCGAGGTGGCGGCGTCTCAACGCGCTCCAGGGCGTTTCCCCCGAGCATTGCTCCTGCTCTTCCTGCCGAAGTGCACTGTGGAGTGCCCCCCCGCGGGGTGGGCCCGCTTGGGGCGCTGCCCCTTGCCCTCTCCAAGAAAATCTGCCCAAGTGCAGGACGCGCTTGGAGGGCACGGCAGCACACCCCAGAGGGCCACCAGCCTTGGAGGCAGAGGACACAGGCTACTGCTGCAGAACTGATTGCGTGGAGAACTCGGGTTGCCCGTCGCGGTTGGTCACGACAGGCATGAGGCACAGCACGTACCCTGCAGGTCCGCTCGGGTGCGCCTCTGGAGCGAGCTGCTGCCCCTGGGCCCACTCCTGCGGCTGCCACTGCGGCTGCTGCTGCCCTGGCCATCGAGGCCACTGCTGGAGCTGCTCGTGCTGCTGCTGCTGCTGCTGCTGCTGCTGCTGCTGCTGCTGCTGGGGCAGCGGCATCGGCTCGTGGTGCTGCTGCTGCCCAAGCTGCGGCTGCTGCGGCCGCAGAAACCGCGGCCGCCACGGCTGCTTCTGCGGCCGCTCCCCCGCCGGCGCCGCCCGCGCCCCGTCGGCGGAGGCGTGCCCTGGCGGGCCCTGGCGGCCCTGCGACGCCGCCACTCCGCGGGCGCACGCGGGCTCGTCGGGCAGCGGGAGGATCGGCGGCCCCTCGTCGCTGGTGCGCCGTGGGCCGCTGGGCGGGGCCGGCCGCTGCTGCTCTGGCCGCGGCCTCAGGCGGCCGAGGCTCTGCTCCAGCTGCGCCTGGAGCTCCGCCTGCCTTCGGCTCGCGGCGGGCGTCTGGAGCTCAGCCCCGCCCGCGGAGCAGGACTCCAGAGCCGCGATGGCCTCCGCGTGGCCTCGCGGCGCGATGTGGCCGAGCGCCCGCGCGATCAGTCCGTGCACGCGGTGCCCGAGCCTCTTCGCGCACGAGACGAGGGCCTCGATCACCTGCACGTGGCCGTGCGGAGCGTGCTGGATGAGGGCCTTGGCCGCCACGGTTAGCGTGTCGACCTTGTCGCTGCTCAGGCAGGCGCAGAACACTGCGATGGCGGCCGTGTCGTGCCGAGCGCTATGCTTGGCCAATAGCTTCACAAGCTGGGCCTCTCCGGCCACACTCCTCCTGCCCTGCAGACGCGCGCGGATGGCATCCATGACCGGCGGAATGGATGCAGGCCAGACTTTAAGCATCACCAGGATGGCCACGAGAAAACTCTGGTCGGTGATCGCGGACTCGCTGAGCTGCTCCCGGATAGACTCCTTCATCTTATCGCCCTCCTGAGTTGACAACATCAAAATACGCCACCACGCCCTTGGCACGTTGAGCCGTGTTAGAGCGCTTGTCAACTGTGAATTGTCGTGTCAGGCTTTTCTATCGTCTTCCATGGCCGACACCCCGCTGTTGTGCGCGTGCCCACAGACCAAAGCGGCACCAAGATGGCCCCTAGGACCGACCAGACGGTCAAACATGACTTCAAGACCCCCAGAGGCTCCAAGAGGCCCCCACGAGGCCCCGCGAGATCCCGCTAAGCCCCAAAGAGACGCTCAAAGATGCCTCCAGCGAGACCCAAACCAATCAATATGGCGGGGACATCGAAGTGTTGTTGCTTCCAGAACGTTGCTGCTCGATGAGCCGCGGGCGAGCCGGAGAGAACCCCAAGAATCCTCAGAGACAGCCCAAGACGGCCCCGGTGAAGCGCCAAGACGGCTCCAAGACTGGCCCAATACAGTAGCAAGACGTCCACACCTTGCCCAAATGCGACCCCGAGATCCGACCAGACGTCTTCAAAACCGCGCCTCCTCGAGAGACCTCGGCAGAACCATTGTGCCCAAAACGGCCCCGAGACCGCGAATGGGCTCCAAACGGGCCGCCAAAAGGGCCTTAGGAGGTCCCCAACAAAGCTCATATCTTTCTTCGGAGAGGGAATAGGCGAGACGCCGAGGGAGGATGCAAGGGAAAGAAAAAGAGGAAAACGAGACTGAGGAGACAAAGGAAGGGGGCATACGACCAGCGCCAGTTCCGACATGGCGCCGAACTGGAGGGAGGCGTGAGCTCAACCTCCTCCCTGCTGTGCTGCTGCGCTCACACGGTGGCGGGTGGTCTGCCGCAAGCGACTGGATATCCATGGTCCTCTCGAGGCCCGTGACCTCACGGACCATGCCCTCATGCCTGACATTCTGACGGTCTATGACGAACGATGTCCAACCGGTTCCTTTGACGATGGATTTCATCTTGAAGAACACCTTCACGGGCCCTGCAGTCTCCTCCCCACGGAACGTGAAGCCGAGGCAATGTGGGAGGTCAATCGCCTTTTCCCTGGCGTCCGCCACTGTCATCTCCTGGATGTGGACATCGCCCCCCCTCGGGATGTAGCCCTCCACCTGGCGGAAACAGCTCTTCGTCATCTGCTCCAGGATCCTCCTCACCATGTGGCGCGCGGTCCTGTGGTCGTGCAGGGCGAACGACGCGAGGGCCTGGTAGGCCTCGTCCCGCACCTTCGGATTGCTGTGGGCGAACAGCTGCGCAAGCCTCTCGTGCGACACTTGTTCGCACAAGCGCGCGCGGCCCCGTGGCGAAGCGCTAGGAGGAGCGGGGGAGGAGAGGAGGGGGAGGACGGGGAGGAGGGAGAGGGGGGTGGGGGAGGAGGGGGGGCAGAGGGGAGGAGAGGGGAGAAGGAAGAAGAGGAGGGGAGGGGCCTCTCGTGCGACACGATCAAGCTGACGTGCACCTCGTCGCGCTCGCGGGGGACCTCGGCGAACAAGGGGCTCGACTCCTGGAGCATCGCCCCGTCCAGCGCCAGCTCCTGGCACGCCTGGTAGGCAACCACGTGTGGACCTTACCCCTGCGGCTCTGATTTCGTGAAGACCCGAGGGAGTTCCGAATTTTCCGAGAGTGTCTGCAACCACAAATGAGCGACGGAAAGAAACGGGTCTTGCGCGAGATGTCACAGGGACCTTGCGCCGCTGTTTACGCCGGCGGCCAGCGAGGCACGATACACTGGGAGCGAGGGCGCGTACGCGCGACCTCACGCGGGAAGCTTACGCGCGAATCGGCCCTGTTTCTGGGGAACCCAAAAGGCACCGATACCGAAACTCCCGCGCCTCGCCCGGGGCGCGTTCTGACCAGAATTTCGACGCGAATCCAGAAGCGGCGACGAAGGTCTCCCAGGAGACCCCAAGAGGCCAAACCGAAGGAATGGTAGCGGCATGGGTACGTGTTCCTCCTCTGTGTTTCCTTCCGTCGCTCCAGCGAGCCGCAGCAGGCGTGTCCCAAACCCCAGCGCCCACTGGACCCGCAGGAGCAGGGCCCGCAAGCGACCGCAGAGCCTGGGGCACGTGCCAGTGGCCGGCGATCCTGAGCTTCAACGCCGACACCAAGCAAGCGGGCTCCTGGGGGAACTAAAGGTCCCGATACCGCTGACGGTGGAGCTGATTGCACAGGACAGGCGACAGGACACAAGGCTCTTCCGACGGTGACATGGCCTCCCAAAACAGCAGGACACAAGGGTGCCCATGGGTACCCTTGACCTGCGAAGGCAGAGGACGCGATGCGCGATGAACAGGACAGTGGGGTACCCGTGGTTTGGCAGGACCCCGCCTGCGCCCTCGGTCGCGCCCCAGAGGGGGGCGTCCAAGAGTGGGGTTCGCAAATCGTGGCCCGAGGCATGTGCGCAGACAAAGGGGGACCAGGGAACATGTTGAAAAAAGAAAAGGGGCCGTGAAATCTGGAGAGATGTCATGACCCCGGCCATGGCATACCCCCCCCCTAGGCATCTTGGACGCCCCCGATTCCCCAGACCTCTCCCGGGGGTGCATTCTCACCTTGGCCTTCGAGGCGCGTCCAGCCGTGGCGTCCAATGCCTCCCAGGAGGCCAGAAAAAGCGAAAGCGGGGCAAGGGCAGCGGTATCCGTACCCTTTTCCTCCTCGGGGCTCCATCACAAACTCCGCGCTCTCCCCTGAGAGCTTCGTGACCACAACCCTCCTGCTGCGCCACTCCGTCCTCTGGCGGCGCCCAGAAAGGGGTGACGCCAGGGGGGCGTCCTCATAAGACCCTGGAAAAGGGCTTCTTAGAGGGCGGAGGCCTTCCTCGAAAGCCTCGGGAGCTTCAAAGAAGGCGTCTTAGAAACTAGACGGGCTTCTGACAAGCCCCGCTGCCCTCTCAGAAGCTCCATCGCTTTCTTCGAAGCCCAACCCCCCTGCGCCCCCTCCTTGGTTCTGCGATAACTCATGGGAGCCTCCCATACCATCTCGTTGGCTCTTGCGAAGCGACGCTAGTCGAGGCTAAATCATCGCTAAATTTGCACTATGCCACCGATTACAAATCGCCAGCCGACAGCAGTGCACAGTAAGGACGGAATCACAAGGGTATACAAGGCTCCCATGGTATCTCACCGAAGCCACCCCCTTGATAACTATCTTGCATCCCCAAGGAACCTCGTCTGTCCCGTTACGCCCCTATACACGTCGAAAATGTGCCGAATCCATGTTGGACTCGTCAAATCCGCCTCAAATCCATGTCGACTCCGCGTCGGGTCCGCATCGAGCTCGCGTCGGGCACAACAAAACGACGCCACTCTTGGGAGGACAGGCGAGATCCGTCGAGGACGCAACATTACTCGTGGGTGCCACGAAGTCCTCCAGAAGCTGCCCGGGCGGGACGCCGAGCTCGACGAGGGCGACACGACGGCCGCCACTGCTGCTGCGCCGACGCCAGGCTCGGAGGGGAGGGCGACGTGGCGGCCCCTCCCTGGCGCCCTCATCGCCCACCCACCCCCTTCAGGGGGCTCCTCTGCCCCCGGGTGCGCCGAACGAAGGGGGGCCGTGATATCGGGCAGATCTCGCGGCCGCTGCCATGCCATCCCCCGCCCCTCACCGCCCCTTCGACGCCCAATGGTCTCGGGTCAACACGGGCCTCTGGCGGCCTCTAAGGAGGATCCGGGCACCCCCGGGGACGCCCTCGACGAGGCGCAGCTGCTGGAAAGCACCAGCGAGAAAAAAAATCCAAAACAAGCACAACCTCCTGCCCCCTCCCCCTTCGACGAGCAGAATCGGGCAGAGAAAGCCCTACCGCACCTCACTGTCAGATCGGCCACTCCCTTCCCGCTGGCATTCGATACCCTGCCCTGCCGAACTGTCTGCTCGCCCGCCCCCTGGACACAGGGGTTCCACGACATTCACACACACAGAAACACACACACCTACTTTTTTGGTCGGCGGGGCGAGAGCGAACCTCTTCCGCTAAAAGCCACACATTCACACACGCACACACGCACGCACGCACACACGCACACACGCACACACGCACACACACGCACGCACGCACGCACGCACGCACGCACGCACGCACGCACGCACGCACGCACGCACGCACGCACGCACGCACGCACGCACACACACACACAAACACAAACACACACACACTTACACACACATGCCTTTTGGCGTTCGCGGGCTCGCGCCTGGCGACGAGGCGAAACAAGACGGCGGCCGAGACCCAGACGGCGCCCGCGCGCGCCAACTCTGAGGGGCCTGCAGCAGGACCTCGGGACGGCGGCTCCAGGGGCTTCGGCTACCGCGTCGAGTCTGCGGCCCGGCCTTGGCTGTCCTGCGAAAGCTGAGGAAGCGGGCAGGACGCAGGCCGCCGAGACCCCTTGCGCTGCCCTGCCAGAGGCTGGCCAAGAGGGCGGCGAGGAATCCCTGCCCGTCGAATCGGCTGGAGGACCTGAAGGACTGCTCCCGCGTCAAGGTTGCGGCCAAACCTTGGATGTCCAGGCAAGGTTACGACGGCGAGACCCTTTGCGCTGCCTCAAGGGAGGTTGTCCAAGGGGGAGGTGCGGGATGCCTGCCCGTCGAATCGGCTGGAGGACCCGAGGAGCATGCCTCATCTACTTCGATGACGTGCGAGACAGGCACGGCCGCCAGGGCGGGGACAGACGTTGGGGGTATCCGTTGCCTTACCAAAAGCCTCGAGCTGATGACCATTCACGAGACATGAAAGCGCTCCAGTGCGAGAACCTAGGCTTAGGCCACGCTGGCCTTCAAAAGAAGCCCGTCCACCGCGGTGCCTGGTTGGATGACCAGCCTGGACCTGCACCAGTAGCGGACCATACAAGGACCCTGGGAGGTGGACCTGGTGGTGTCCGCGACTGCCCTCTTAGCACGGACCCCCCCCTGCGCCGCACCAAGCGCCGAGGGTGCTGGACCTGGACCACGACCCCGCCATTCATCCCCACCCGCTGAAGGACCAGGAAGGCAGCAGGGACGGGGTGGTGATGACGCAGCGCGCGCAGGCGGAGAGGGTGCAGGCCCTGCGCCAGGTGAGCCGTCGGCAGCAAGCGGCGACCTACTACACTGGAGCCAGAAGTGGATCTTTACGCAGTGTTGGGCTGGAGGGGAGCGACGGCGAGGATGACCAGCTCGACTGGTGCCTGCAATACACAGAGGCACGGCTCGCGCAGGCGCAGATGCGCCCCCCCTTTGCGCGAGGAGAGCGTTGGCAGCGACAGACACTTCGCAACCCGGCCAGGGCGCTACTGTGACGACGCATGGCAACGCGGCAAGCCAGGGCGACTGAGCCGCGCGCGGCTCCTCATGAGCAAAGCCCGCGACCTCCAAAGAGGGCAGAATTCCAGCGCTGTTGCAGCACAACCGCGAGCGCGGCGAGCTACGGCGATGGCTACGGCGCGAGTGGAACGCGCTCCACGAGCTGCTGCCCTGGGAAAGCGATGCCAGAGGACAGCAGCGGGACGAGCCCAGAGGCAGGCCCGTCCAGGCCGCCACGAGAGTGTGCGGGTCTGTCACGGAGCAACGCCGCCGAGGAACGTCCAAACCCAATTGCCGCTGCGGCGGCATCACTGAAGCACCAGCCAGTGCATCCAGTGACGACCTGGCTGACATCGATGAGGTGGTAACCTCTAGAGAGAGCGAGACCACTGCTGCTGGATCCTCACTTGGGTGATACAGAACGTGCAGGCTCAGCAGGGAGTGGACGGCCTAGAGTGGACGGCCTGGCAGACGACGACGCACAAGGAGGTTCTCATCGACACCCATGTGTACCTGCGGTGAGGAGGGCGCTGAGTCAGAAGCCGAACGCTCACCCGACTTCGAGGACGAGGCCGAGGTGCCCAATGGGGAGGGCGCGCCCGAGGAGAGCTGCAACGACCCGGTCGAGGACATGGCGATGCTGCAGATGGCGAGGGGCAACGTGCAGCAGATCCCTCCAGAACGGAACGAGCCAGGGCAGGTCATGCAGTCATGCACAAGCGAAGACCACGAGGCCCAAGCTGAAACTCTAGCCCGCAAGAGGCTGCGATTGGACCAGGCGGTCGGCGGCCCTGCGCAGCAGGAGGGCCCAGTAGACGAACTGGGCCGCCCAGGGTGCACGACGCCACCTTGCACGCACGGCACGAATGCGGCTGCCGAGAGGCGC